CTGCTTTGTCTGCCGCTTTGGGGCAGGGTGCTCCCAGCCGCTTGTGTCACTAGGCTTGGAAAAATATTTGCAGTGAAATATTTTTAGCTGGAAAACTGATTTACCCGAGCTTGTAACTTATGTTAATTTTCAAGAAATTTAATGAAGGGATTTTTTTTCTTTTTAAGGCTAAATGTTTGCCAGGGGAGGAAAAAAAAACCCACTCAACCCTGCAAACAGACTAGCCATCTGTTGGCCGTGATATTCATCTGGGCTTTCGGGAGATCTGGGTGTGAAGTCGAATTCTAACCACTTTTTTTTTTTTTTATTACTGCAGGGGAGATCCAGCCCTACAGTGGTGGGTGGCCCTGCACGAGGATGAGGGAATAGGAACTCGGCCCTGGAACAGGCAAATCCACAGCGGCCAGTCTATGTCTGACCGATGCTTGGGCAGTCTCTCACTCTCCAGATTTGAAAGGTTTTGTGTGGTTTTTGTCCCGATGCAGAATAGGCAACATGCTTTAAATCACTTTTCATTCTGACTGGAGAAACAATTTCCTACGAGCTCAACCCTGAACAATAGGGCCTTGATCTTGATAGGGGGCTGTGGATGTTACTGTAATGCTAATATGTGGCGCGGTTGGCCTTTGCGCTTCTGGCACATTTCAGACACTATATAGGGAGTCTGTAATCAGCTGCAGAAAAATTCCCTTCTGTCTCTCTCCTAGCAACCCCTTCTGAACTGATATTTGAAAATAAGCCTGCTTTCTATATCATCATCTAAATATTTGCGACACCTCCCGTCATTTAAAAATCACTTAATAGTTTTGGGACTAAGGTAATTTGTCATCAGGTCCTCAGGACTCCCTTCTGGGTTTTGTGGTCTTAAGGTAAAGCTTTTGAACTTCTTATCCCTTAGAAACCTGACTTGTAGCCAGATTTTGCTCTTTCAACTTTTACACTAGGTTTCACACAAAGTCAAATCAGTATGCTGAGGTGATAAGGAGATAAAAGCGTCAAGGCCATAAGTCACCTAGGCTGGTAGGAGCAAGCTGAGAGCCTTGAAAGGGATTTGGTTGTATTTTTTTCGGCATCTCAGCGCATGTGACGTGTTACAGGCTGGTTTTGCAGCTCCCTCATCTCAACGCCGTATACGCACGGTGTATGCCCACAGCAGTGTGCCCTGCTGTGGAAACGAGGCAGGCTGCTCGTACCAGGATGAACCACTGGACTCCCACTGGAGTGGAGAATGCTAAAGTCTTTATCTTCCCTAAATCTGAATAATGAAAAGTGTGGAGAGAGGGAGTGTGGGCATAGAGGAGTTTGTCTGGACAGAGTAGACTAAAACAAGGCGAGGGGTTTGTGGTCTTCCCCATAAACGCTGACAGTGTGTTTGAAGTCCCGAGCACTCATGAGAGTGCTTTCTGTGCAGTTTTACATCCGTAGCCAATGAGAGAAGGTGGATGGGAATCCTGGATGTGAACGCAGGTATCCTGGGAAAAAGGCACAGGGGTTGCTGTGAATAATCTGGTCACCTTAATTGTGGAAATCTTGCTCCAGATTCTCGATGCTCTTTTCCCGGGGCTACCCGAAGTGTACTTTGTTTTCTGAAGACCTGGAGCGTTTCTCCCTCCTGGGAGTTGGACTCTCTGCAGGATTCAGCACCAGGACCTGTCTGAGTGCAGGAGAGGGGGTTCGTTGTGCCCTAGGCACAACTGAGTTCCTCAAGTCTTGTGCGTCACCACGCTGGCAATTCTTTTGTTGGGTCTGACACAACTGATTAATTGGTGTGTTTGGAGTGGGATTCATTTGGGATTTGGTTGTAAGGCTTTTGCCTCATGGAAAATATCTGTCTGAGCAGAGGAAATAGTTGTGTCAGAGCCTGTGTTCTTTACGCTGAGATAAAATGAGCAGCGGTGGAGCTTTCTCTGGGACCGTGGTCCAGACAGTCCTCCAAACGCGTCAGGTCCCTTCTGCTGTTTGCCCATGCTTTTCCCTCGTGCTGCTAGAGGGTTCCCTGGTATGGCTTTAGGGGAAGCCTTGAGGTCTGCATTGGGTTCCCGATCTTCCTGGAGTCCCAGCTTGTGCAATAAATGTCTCCTGGGGATTGCGTGTGCAACGGGAATGGATCCGAAGACTTCCTGGAGATGGAAAGAGCTTGGAGGTGATGTTCATCATTCCGTAATTGCTCTCTGCACTTCTCCCACTAGTGCTCTCAGTCATTTTGGTAGTGGGATTTCAAGGTTTCAAATTCCTGGGTATCTCTACCTGTAGAGAAAACTTGGAGGAGAGGAGAAGGGGAAGACAATTCACCTCACTTGGTTAGAAAGTGGGAGTTCCCATGGAATTCACCAAGGAATGGGGCTTCCCCAGCTTCCTCAGTTCTGATGCATTTCCAGAGCCTTCCCCGGTGTTGATACAAGGGCTTTATTGCTGAAATTCACTTCGCTTTCCGGCTGTTGTCTGGAACTCTTGTATCACGTTAATAAACGATGCAGTTGTTCCTGAACGCAGCATCCCTATCCCAGTACGTAGCGCTGTCCTGAACCTGACTCGCTGAGGTTTTTGGTAGGAATTTCAGGCCACAACAGGGAGAATAATCAAATACGGCTTCCTTTTAATAGTTTTGTGAACTTGGGAACACCAGGACTGAGTCTGCAGTGCAGAAAGCTCTGCTTTAATTTACGGTCGGTGTTGACTCACGGAGCCGAAGAGCACACAAGCTGCAGCTGCTCAGGAGCTCACTCGGATCAGGCTTGGAGAGCTGGTTTTTATTAAGTGGTACTTGATTTAGTCCTAAGTAAAACCATTTGTATTTAACCTGATCCACGAAGCTGCCGTAAGTGTTAACATGCTTCGCGTTAAACGTTTCACTCTGGGGCACCATCCTACGTGGTGGGTGTGTATAAAGAGCCCTTTTCCAAACCTGGAATCGTTAGAAGAGTGTGTACATTTCCAAAGGAACTTGAACTCGGTGAACGTATATTTAAAGTTTACTGTCACGATCTGGTGGTCGCTGTCCCCTTACATCACGTTTGAGATGAGCTGCAGTGTTTCGGTCCGTGGCCGCTGTTTGCAGACTCGCAGGGATGTCGCTTTTCCTCGAGATGCCGTTGGCTTTCAGCGGAGGGATCACTTGCGCTTTGGGGCAGTTAGGCATTGATCTGCCCTTTGTGAGCTGCTCTTGGGTGACTGCCAGGTGCCGTCAGCTACTTGCCATTTCACTGTGGGGCAGAGCAGCTTTTGCTGAATCAAGAAAAACTCTGGAGCCAAAACAAACTGCTATAAACTTTTCTCCCTCCCCAAGAGAGTGAGGGGAAGAAGGTTATTACATCCAAACTCTTTTGGAGCTGGCACTGGGGGAAAACTCTGTCCAATCTGGGAGTCATTGTACTTGAGGAGCTGGAATAAATCCTGGCAGGCCCTGCAGACGGGATTTGTATCTCCTGCGTATGAGTATGCGCACAGGCTGCCGGGATTGAACTGGCACTTCTGGATACGGGAGTCTCTTAAAGTAGTGTGGGATGCACCTTCAGCAGACTTCATGGATCGTAATGTGGGATCAGGGATAGGGCTGAGCTCAGAATAAGTTGTTCCTGGTGGTGGGTCCCAGGAGTGATTGTCCCTGGGGGGTCAGGAATATTTAAGGGAAGCAGGTATGCGGGTGGCCAGGCGCACGGGTGCCTGGTGCCTCAGTGCTGTGAAGGGGCAAGGAGGTCTGCGTAATTGCTGCAGAGAGCTTCCTGGGCACATTCTGTGCCTTGAAAGCAGAAAAACCTTTTGCATCAGAGTGAAAAATCCCGGTTGTAAAGGGAACCTGGCTTCAGTTCCTCTTAGCCTGAGAGTTTCTGCCAAGCTTGCTGCTGTGATGTTAAGAATCTTTTATTAGATACTCTGTGCTGTTGCCCCCTTCCCTCAAGTGGGAGCAGCCTCTGTGGCGCAGAGCTGAAGCAGTCCGAAGTTCAGGTGGGAATAAACCTTTGCTTTTTTCCCTGCTCTGTTTTTTTCTGATGCTTCCCTCATAATTCATATTAAGATTATTGATTAAAGGTAATTGCTGTAGGATATTATTCACAATCCATTAACCCTGATTTATAGCAGAATTCTTCAGCAAGGTTGGGTGCTGAAACATCACCGTTAATTGTCCTGACTGAGCCTTGCTTGAAATGAAGATTTCTTGCCTTTCCGTTTGTATTCCCTTCATCCCAGAGTGCTGGTGCTTTGATTCTTTCCTTTAAATGTTGAGAAATACAGTTGTTCTTTTCGCGCTCCACCAGTGCCTCATAATCTCGCCCTTCTGCCATCTCTCTGAAGACGAAGGCGCGGATTTTTTTTTTGGTCTTGCAAGTCAAATTAACATGAGATTGCCATAATTTGCATCGTAGCTGTGGGAGGCCATCTGACAGCGCCGAAGGCAGCCAAGGAGAATTGAATTCATCAGCTCTCGCGTTTGTCGGAGCAGGGGCTGGGGGGAGTTCTGCTCCTCTAATCTGGGCAGGAGAGTAAACATTTAATGTGAGTGGTTGGCGGGGGTGACTTTTTTCTGCTTTGTGGCTCATCTCCTGAACGCTGGGAAGGAGAGGTCCTTCCGAGGCCTTGCCTCACGTCGCAGCCCTTGCCCTGGGGTTCGTGTCTGGCTGTACCGAGGCTTTGGATGCTGTTTCTGGGTTTCAACTCCTCTCCACAGCCCAAATACGTTTCCAGATAGGTTGCCGGTAGGGACCTGGCGTTTTCTTAGGTCAGAGCTTAAGCTCTGCGGAAGTAGGTGGAGAACACAAAGCAGCTCTGAGGAGAAGGGAGGAATCGTCTCAAGGTTGCTCAATGCAAGGGGAGGGATTCTTCAGGGTGTAGAATTGGCTTTTACTAACATCATTGTGGTGATGTGGTCACTTAGATGTGTCAAGGCGCTTAAATTGCATGTTGCAGGGTATTTTGAATGTTTGGTTTTAAACTATTTGGTTTGACAGGCTTCTAGCAAGTTCCCAGTGTCTGAGTAAATGGGTTTTGTTTCCCTGGACTAGATGTTTTCCTTTACTCGATGTATCAGTATTGAGAGCAAGCACGAAGTCACAATCCTAGGAGGACTCAATGAATTTGTTGTGAAGTTTTATGGACCACAAGGAAGTAAGTATATGACCCAACCCTTCTATAAAAACAAAACTAATGGCTCGTAGTGGGGAAGAGAGAAGTGACACATTCTTCTGGAGTGGAAGAAGAGATGAGCACATCTAAGTGGGGATGAGAAATCAAAGGGTAGCAGTGTTTGGAGGCTGCGCTCTCAAGGGCGGGGAGAAATACAACTGTGAGCATTAGGGCAGATGAACCACCTCCCTTGGAGCTGAGCTGGATACTGCCTTCCGACAACTCAGCCCTCTGCTATGGCCTTCCGCAGTGCTCTTGTTGATCCGTAGCTTTTTCTAGACCTGGCTCATAAATCTTGCATCAGTCATCTGAATTCTTGTGGAGTTTGTAATTAAGATGCCTTCTCTAGTGACTGGATCACAAGTCAGGTTTCCTGCATGCCTTAATTTAGTAACATCTCTAAAGGTAAGTAGATTATTCTCCAGTCTCTGTTTTTAACAAGGCTCTTGTGTCTTTGTGCTGAGATCTTCTGCAGTATCAGTTAAAATCATGGATTTCTTGTCAGGCAGCACAGGAAAAAGGGTTTTACCGTAGGAGGTTTGATGTGGAATCTTCCCCCCTGATGGAACTAAGTATTCTTCCTAAGATGTGTTTTGCTTAATGCTGTAGTTCTGTTTATTCTCTCCTGAGTTACGACGTGTCTAATACCTACATTTCTTTCATTGCAGCACCGTATGAAGGTGGAGTATGGAAAGTTAGAGTCGACCTTCCTGATAAATACCCTTTCAAATCCCCGTCTATAGGTAACCAATAATCACTTGCAGTCAAAATCCTTTTACTGTTTATGCAGGAGAGGTGTTACTGCTTCCAGTCTGCAGAATTATTTTATCGTAGACTTCCAGGTCTCGCGTGCCAAGAAGAGAGGAAGCTTGGTCCTTTGGCTGAAGGGCTGGGAGTTGGAAATGGGGTTGGGTCACACGTGTTTGTGTTGATGAACCGAGTCTCTCTACCGTGTACTTTTTCAGTACATTTGTGGGTAAGGTGCAGGATACCACAGAGTGTGCTGGAGCCTGTTTATATAAAATGACTCGCGTAGTGTGGAGAGCGACGACCGACTGCATTGCGTGCTCATGGTCTTGGGGTGAACCTACCTGTTGTATCTCTTGGCCAGAAGTGGATGGAAGTGAAGGCAGGAGCTGAAACCTCTGTCCTCTTGGACTAGGTGATGCACATGTGGAAGAACACAGAAGCAGGACTCTGTCACCAGAAAAACTGCAGCTGGCTAGACCGGTCAGGCTTGTTTAACCTTGGAGAGCAAATTAGGAAGTTTGATAAGGAAATGTTCCTTAGACTGTATCCATCCTATCTTTGTCCTTGCGTAACGGTGATCTAACTCGCTGTCTTTGCGTACCCAACTTTATGCCAATAGCTTAAGCCATAAATAAAAAAGCCAGTATTGCTTGAAACACTGGAGCAGATGCATAAAGTTTCACTATCCGTATTCTGGCTGCTGAAGTAAGAGCTGGTAACTTGGTGACACGGCGCTTCTCCGTCAGAAGGGTGTGCTTGTGGCTCAGGTCACCGGGGGATTCTGAGGAACGGGGAAAACTGCCCGAAGAGAACTGATGTGGAAACATGATTGTATGGGTTGGAGGAGATGGGTTCCTTCCAATATCAACATCCTGATTTGGAGCTGATAAGTATGGGCTGCTTTCTTAAAATAGACTCTTACGCTAAGAGCGCCTTCTATTTAAGATCGCTCGCTCTCTCTGGTGTGAGAAATAATCTGTCTGGTTCCAAATGTGAACTGTGCCTTTTGGGAAAGAGCAAAGCTGTTTGTACGCCTCCCTTCACCTTTCTCTGTTGCAGCCTTAACTGAACCACAGAAATGTGCATGCAGCTCAGTAACAATGCAGTATTGCTGCAGCTGCGTGAACCCTTTTTTTTTTTCCCCTTCCTCTTGAGTCAGCTCTGAAACTTGCTATAAACCTCTTAGCTTAGAGAGTGTTTACGAGATGCACAGTGTGTTGTTTGGTGCCCGTCATATTTCCCTCCCCGCTTCTAAAGTGCTGCCAACCGATGTGGCTCTGTCCTGTTGGCAGTGTTAAATGTGGGCTGGCTACAGGCGACTCGCAGCCTATAAACCCATTTCCTCATTGTTGGTGTTAGTCTACTAAAGGTTATTTTTCTCTCTCCTGATGTTCTTCCAGTGTGTGTCTCAAATGAAGGTCGCTGGCTTAAAGCAAAGCCAGACTTTCTCTCCAGTAGCCTATGAAGCCAGTGCAGCTAAACGTTGGCCAGGCTCTTGCATATTCGTAGTGCTGTTGATTTAGGCTCGGGGTAGCGGCGTGGAAGGTGGTAGGTTTGACCTTTTGGTGGTCTGGCTTGGAGGCTGCTTAGTGCTGGTTGGGATAGGCCAGGAGTACGAGGCAGCCTGGGATCAGAGTTAGCCCAGCTGCGTTTTTAGAACTGACACCACAAGAATGGCCTTTCTCCTTGTGAACTCGGGGTGGGTGTGCAGGGACTTGTTTTCTGCTCAAATCACTGAATCCCTTTTAATGTTAATTTTGCCATGTTTTAGTACAGCACCTTCCCATCCATCAGCTTGCTTATACCCACTGTGTTGTGAGTGTTTTATTCCAGACTCCTCAGACCTTCGATCGTGCTTCCCTTGCTCTGCAAGTCTCTGAGCGACTGAAAGCCACCTCTTCTCTCGCTGAGCTCCCAGAAAGCTGCCTCTTGCTGTCTGCTGGGTGAAAGTTGCTGGTTACCTCCCGGGCGAAGCAGTGTGCAGCTGAGGTTTCAGGTTGAATAAGTGGTCGATGCTAGATGAGAGCTGGCTTAGCAAAGCAGAGTTCAGCTCTGCGGCTGGGGGGAACGAGCCAGGGAGTGGAAGCTCCAAGGAGAGTGCTAGGACCCGGGGAAGCTGCCGACAGGCTGCAGGAAGAGGTTTGTTTTTCTTTGTCTGGTTCCCATTTCTGCTGCCCCAGTCCAGCTTATCTGGACAGCCAGGGCTGCGTGACGTCTTCGCCCTTTCCTCTGGGCCAGCTCCATCTCTGCACTGCTGCTCTTGGAGGCAGACTGGGCGTGCAGTGCCCGATACTGCTGGTTTTGGCATTACAACTAGTTCCAGAGCAAGCCTTTGTCCCAGCTGAACTAGGGGCATTCACAAGCTTGTAAATGAGAGAAGATCCTGTTCTCTCCCAGGTCTGCGTGTTCCTGTGAGCACGGGTGTCCTCACCCAGCTTGAGCTCTGGATAACACGGGGGCCAGAATTAGTAGGGAAGAAATTTGCCATGGCGATCTCTGATCTGTAAAGAGATGGACACGAAGGATTTCAGAGATGGTGGAGCCCCTAAATGGACAGAAGGTCATCTAGAGCACACATGTAGCTTGTTTGCAGCCCTTCTGTTCTCAGCACTGCATAGCTCCCACTGCCGTGATGACATGCAGAGTTCAAATTATCTGTGGAACTCGCTGGCTCCTATAGAATCCAGCAGTTCCTCTTCCTTTAATAAATCACGCTTTTATGCCGAAGCTTAAAGCCCAAATGCTGTTCTTGCAGCTTTCCTTGTTCCTCTAGTACTGTGGGCTGAAATTTTCTTTCCATCTTAGAAAATCTTAATGCAGTCTTGAACATGGCAGGGGCTTTTTTGCAGCAAATAACAGGATGGCTTGAAGCATATCCATGCGTTCCGGAAAGCCGCTTCTGAAAAATGACTGCTAATAGCTGCTTTCTAATCTGTTCAAATTGCATGTATCCCAGCGTGGCTCTGAGTATAAGGTCCGTGAAAACTCAGTGTCCTCTTCGGAAGCGCGACTGATGATCCTGAATAGAAAAGGGTTTTAAAGTGGGTTCCAGATTTGTCATCTGGGAAAGTATGGACCTCTTCTAAAACCAAAGTGATTGACGGTGCGCTTCACCTTTGAGGGTCTTTAGCAGAAGCATTTTCTTGGTATGGTGGCTCTTCTCCTGCCAAATTGTTGCACCCGTGTCCCGTCCGCAGCTCCCTTCTCAAAATACGTGTGGCATTTATTTCCTGCCCTTCTCAGGTTGTTAGTTACTGCTGTGGTCTATTGAATGATGCTGCCCTGGGGACAGTGCTTGCCTGACAGTGCAGGTATGTCTTTGCTTAAAGACCGAAACCATCCCGGGATCTGTGTGAAAAGAGCAGTTTTGGAAAAGAAAAGGAAAGTCCAGTGTTTCATTGTGTCCTGCCGTACTTTTCCAGTATTCCTGGCATTGCCTGTTCCTTGCCTGGTCTTTGTTGTGTGTTCGGACAGATCCCGTGTTGATGCAGGATGATTTTTCCTAACAAAGTCTTTAAGGTCCCTAAAGGGAAATAGCATAAAAAGGGAAATGCGCATCCTAGAGGAACACGAATCTAAACGGAGCCAGATGTAGGGCTGTTGTGTTGGCTCTGGGCTTGAGTGCTCCCACTGAGATGAACTAACTCCGCTCGTGATCCCTAAATACCCAGATCTCCAGGGTTGAAACAAACCTCCTGAACCTGAGCAGCTTGTTAGAGCAAAACCAACTCCTGAAAGATGCCCTGTTGATTTCTGAAGCTGGTGAATGCTGCTCCTCTTAATGCTTTTGCCAATTAATGTAAATATCCCTGCGTGCTCGTGAGGACGCGAAGCGCTCCCCTGCTGCATGTTTGGTTCCGTTTTTGCTTTCTCCTAGACAATACGTTTTGAGCTGTTTATGATTTCAATAACCCTGCTTGGCACTGCTTTGCTACTTTTCCCTTCCCTCCGGGATGTAGTATCTTCAGGGGAACTTTCTGCCTAGGCTGTTGCTGCTTTTCAAAGGGGAGTTGTGAAGTACTTGAAGTACTGTTCTGAGCTCCCGAGTCACGAGAACACTTTGTGTAAATGCTGTATGTTTTTAATCAGTCCCTACGCCTGCCAAGAGCCGGAGAGTAATGCTCTTTGATGCCATAAACACGGGAGGAAGCGCTGAGTGTGGATGTCCTGCCCTGCTTAGGTGACAGAAGCAGTTCAGACCTGGGAGCCTGAGCTCTTACCTGGAAGCACCGTGGCATTTATTTTATTCCTCAGATCTGCAGAAATATTGGGCCGGCACTGAGTCACTCTGGTTTCTTAATAATCAAATGTCACAGCTGCAGAGTTTGTGTACAATATGCTCAGAGCCTCGATTTCTCAAATAACTTCTGTATATTTATACACAATTCTCGTTTCCCTTCCATCTCTGGCCCAGTTATCTGCAGATGCCTCGCATTTATATTTCACCTTTCTCCCAAGTGTTTTGCAAAACAAAATCCCTAGTACGTACCCCAAACATATGGACGTGTGTGTCTGTATATAATGAGACGTCGTGGCAGCCAGTACAGGAGTGAAGCAGTGTTTAGCTCCAGCCAGGATTTACCAGATCTCTCCTAGCCTGTGCTTAATTTTTCTTTTTGACTGCAGCTGCTATTTTTATTTTCAGCTCCTCTCTGGATTGCCTTACATTTTGCTACTTAGAATTTCATGAGGCACTTATCGCCTGTGACCACTCGGAGCTTGCTCTTCCCTCTGTGCGTTGATCCCTGTTCTGACCTATAAGCGATGTGAAAATGCTTGTTCTTTCAAATGCGCTTTGTCTGAGGGGAAAGAGGAGACACCTAAAGGTAATTTGTATCCCTGTCTCCACTCGGGTCTGACGCACAACTGTGCACCCTCTGCAGATTCCCTGCTACAGTCGGGAGAATGGGAACAGACTGACACAACGGGGTGGGTGTTTTCAGCCTGACTTGGCGCAGATTTGCTGCCTCCTGGGCCGGTCTCTGAAGCCTAG